GTAATCTAGGATTATTCTTTTTTTTATTTTCCACAGAACCAGTTTCGTTAAACATTTCAAATCAAGCACATACCGGTGACTTACATCACAATTTGGATTTCTTTCATTAAAAAGAAATGTTGCCGTTCGTGCGCACTTTCCAGCCTCTCCATAAATCACAACCATTTCAGTTCTTTTTGAAAGAGTGTAAACCATTTCTACAATTTATACTCTGAATAAAGGTATTACTGAACAGCTAAACAAATAGAACTCAATTAATAATACTACCAAATCGTTTAAATTTGCTGAACAATTTTTTGCTAAAAAACCGGAGTTTTTTCAAATCAGCAGTAGCAAAAAGGAAGGCCATCTGTACAATTGAAAATCCAATGATGAACGCAAATAAGCTACCATCGAAATGTCACTATTAGATAACTTATTGATAAATAAATGCAATCGAAATCGAAATCAATAGGCATTCAGGAAAGAATCACTTGTATCAGTATTCGTTTATACGAGTCGATGCATAGATTTCGGGAGGATGTAATTCAATATCCTGCGTGGCATTAGCCAGGGAAGTAGTTGTTTTTCTCCCGAAATCTACCATTGTTGTTCATTTTATGAACACTGTGTGGAAATGACTTTGAGCTTTTTTGCATTTATTTAACATTTCATTCCACTGTGAGCATTGTGGCTATTTCATAGAAATTTCCTGACCAGTTTTACTGAAAGGACAATCAATACAATGATCTCTGTTTGAATACTAACCCGAAAACCATGCATCTCAGTGCAGGCAAGTTTAGATCACTTCTGTAGGTTTAGAACGCTATTTTTCAGAAACTGCTCTTCAAAAAAATAGCAAAGTAAGGTACCGTTGGAAAAAGAATTGAACGCCCTTCAAAGTGATGTGCCACTTAACCCCCCTTACCTATTCATATTCTGAGGGTAACATCTACCCCTCCTAGGGGGTTGAACCATGAGGGTCAAAAATATTCATTCAAAGTGTCCCTGTCGAGAATAAAATCGATCTGTCTTTTCATTTTTCCATATTATCGTGTAGTGACCTACGAATTATTATATGTTTCATGGTTTTACCCTGTATGGAAAATGTTTCCAAGGAGACCAGAAAATTGATATAAAACTGACAGTTTTTGAATAAAATATTCGTTCAGACAGAACCTTGTTTTAGTATTGAAAAGGAATATTCTCAGATAAATTATGAACATACAAAAATGGATATATATTTATATAAAGCAATACATCATGCTCGGAATGGAAACATACATACCTCATTTTTCGAAAAGATCATCACCTTCGAAACCCTGGTTCAACAAAAACTGTTCTAGAACTGTTGCCTTGAAACAAACAGCCTACCATCGCTGGCGCAAAAACCCTAACCTCGCGACTAGAGCAGAATACGTTGATGCCAGGAATAACTGCAGCCAAACAATAGATGCTTCTAAAGAAACATACAATGCCAAGATAAGATCGAAACTCATAGATTGCCCCAATGGCTCCCGTTCGTTTTGGTCCCTTGCTAAAGCGGTCGGAAGAAATTTCACCAATAGTTCATTTCCACCACTGTCCAAATCCGACGGCACATTAGCAACAACATCGCAGGAGAAAGCAAATATTTTTGCAGAGATGTTCGCAGCAAACTCTACTTTAGATTCCCAAGGAAAAGTGCCGCCAGACATTCCACCCGTTGAGAGTCGAATGCCCGAAATCGTCTTCCGTCAACGCACTATCAGACGAATTTTGCTTGGTCTCAAAACGAATAAAGCTAACGGTCCTGATGGAATTCCACCCATTATCCTCAAAAAATGTGCACCAGAGTTAACACCGATTCTCTGCAAGTTGTTTACTTTTTCGTACAGGTCGGGTATTTTTCCATCATGCTGGAAGACAGCTAGAGTCCAACCAATCCCCAAAAAAGGGACCTGCCCAATAACTACAGGCCCATTGCCCTGTTATCAGTAATCTCCAAAGTGATGGAGAAAGCCATCAATATTGAGCTTACCAAATATCTAGAGAGCTCAGGAATCATCAATGACAGACAATACGGCTTTCGCCACCGAAGATCTACTGGAGATCTACTTGCCTACGTTACCCATTTATGGCAAGCTTCATTAGAAAAACACGGGGAATCTCTAGCTGTCGCGTTGGACATATCGAAAGCATTCGACCGTGTTTGGCACGAAGGACTCCTCCACAAACTACCATCATACGGCTTACCACCTCAGCTATGCCATCTCTTATCGAGTTTTCTTTCAGGCAGATCGCTTCACGTGGTGGTGGACGGTGTATCGTCTGATACCATTGGCATCAATTCCGGCGTTCCACAAGGATCAATTTTGGCACCAACTTTATTCCTGCTTCATATCAATGATCTGTTGGGAGTAACAACTTAACCCATCCACAGCTTTGCAGATGATAGTACCCTCCATACTGCGTTCTCTTCCAGAATTCCCATTTCTTCCCAGGAAACTAAGAACTCACGGCGCAGGCAGGTCAATGCTGTCAATGAAGATCTTGCTGAAATCACAGCCTGGGGAACCAACAACATAGTTGAATTCAACGCCACCAAAACTCAAGCCTGCATTTTCTCTAGAAAGGCGGAACTCAGTATGCCCGATATTGTAATGTCTGGCTCCACCATCCCCACCAAGCCCACCATATCTATGCTCGGTATTTCCATCAGCAACACTCTTTCATGGGATAATCATGTCAGATCCATCGCAAAAGCTGCTTCGCAACAACTCGGATTCTTGTTTCGTGCGAAAAGCTACTTTACACCTCAACAGCTTCTTATGATCTACAAAGCGCAGATACGGCCTGTTCTAGAATACTGTTCTCACATATGGGGCTCGGCACCAAAACATCCGCTGATGCTCTTAGATTCCATCCAGAGAAGAGCCATTCGCCTGGTGGGTGACGCCACACTCACTCACTCTTTGACATCTTTGGAACACCGTAGAAAGGTCGGCGACCTTTCACTTTTCTATCGATACTTCCACGGGAAATGTTCTTCGGAAATCTCTGCTATCATCCCTTCACTAGCAATACCAATCAGACGAACTAGACAAGCCCAGTCAGCACATCCCTTTGTTGTCAACCTCGAAAGATGTCGAACAGCACTTTATCAAGACTCCTTCATCCATAGAACGGCTAGGCTCTGGAATTCATTGCCTGTGGAAGTATTCCCAACAACATATAATCTCCAAAAGTTCAAAAAAAATTCCAATACCTACCTCCTGTCCCTATCCTCCCTAGGAACGCACGATGTTCTTTGAACATTATAGGGATTCCCTTTCGTGCGCTCCAAGCGATAAAAAAAAAATCGCATTCTCTATGTGATGAGAATATTTACTCTTTCTCAGTTGATTCAATAGAAAACAACTACTTTCCTGGCTATATGCCACGACGAACATTGAATTATATCTCTTGAACACACACGATAAGAGTTTGAAAATAAAATATAAAAACTTCTGAAATTGAGAATTTGCATTCTCCTTCAGACAAAAATATGTATATGCACACATCATTCTGAATATTCAACAGAAAACAACTACTTTCCTGGCTATTTGCCTCGTCGAACATTGAATTATATCTGATGAACATTCAAGAGGAGAACATGAAAAATGAAGAATAAAAACCTCCGATATTGAGAATTGACATTCTTCTTCAAATCGGATGAATAATATGATGTATAATGATATAGAAATATAACTTACCAATATATTCAGCATTGAAATGAAAATTGGAATGTATAGGAGAAGTATACTGGCATAAACTCTGATCTTGATGGCATATAGCCAGGAAAGTAGTTGTTTTCTATTGAATCAACTGAGAAAGAGTAAATATTCTCATCACATAGAGAATGCGAATTCTCAATGTATTGCTTTATATAAATATATATCCATTTTTGTATGTTCATAATTTATCTGAGAATATTCCTTTTCAACACTTTCATACCCAATCAGGGGGTTCAAACTTGAACGATGGAAACTTGTGATTTTTATGGACTTCTAATCGCAGATTCGTGATAGAGTCTCAATTCAGAATTTCCTTGTTTTAGTAGTTTGAATAAGCTACAATCGATTTGGAGGGAGATATTAAGGGTGGGAAGTTTTCAAATTGACACCCTGTATTTTACATAACAATGCGGGAAGTAGGTACTTCGCGCATTGTTATGCCATGGATTTGTCTCAGATTGAGAGGTGGCACAGGTAGGTTTTTGAGATCTACCATTCAATTGGTTTCGGATGGCATAATTCTTATTTCGTTATCAAATCGAAAAATTGAGTGCAAGTTACCGCACAGGAAGGTGCGATTGGCCAATCATTTTGCTCAGGATAGTAATTGGCACAGGCGCCGTTCGATAAAATACAATGGTTTTACATGCTTTTGGAACATATACAATTTCATTATTCCAATTTTTTTCTTTCTATAAAATAAAAATATGAATATTATTTCAATATACGTGTAGTAAGGACAAATTGTATTTACAGTATACCTTGTGTTTGTGGAAAGTTTTATACAGGTGAAACCAAGAGACCTCTTTCAGTAAGGACGAAGGAACATAAGTACAATATAAAGAAAAGACACATCGATAAATCGAAACTAGCTGAACATATCCTTACTGAAGACGGACAACATATGGCAGAGTGAAATAATATAAAATCATTGGAAAAAAAGATAACCAGAAGAGAAAAATCAAGGAATCTGCTTGCATTCTTCTGAACGCATCGCTTCTTGTTCAGTTGATATAGACAGAACATGGTATTCACTACTGAAATCTGAACATGAAGATGGTAAATTCGAGATTAATAAATGAGAACATCCTGTAACTCATTTATTTGCCAACGTCACCAATTTTCACTGAGAACTGACTAGTTTCAAGACAGATACGACTTTGCTATTCAAATAACTATTTTTTATGTTGAAAACGGTAGCAGATTTGGTCCCGAAACGTCCAAAGATGAGTGAAAATTTGATATTTTTTCCATATACCTTTATTTCTCTTCTCCAAACTTTTTTCAATACAAATTGTTCCTGGCAACCTAGTGAATTTTTCTTTTAGGCTCCCTGATAGGAGAATTCTTTAAACACAGTGACATTTCGGGGCAAGTCATCTGATTTGTCCTTACAACACGTATATTGAAATAATATTCATATTTTTATTTTTTAGAAACGAGGCGAAAATCCCAAAAAATTTGGAATAATGAATGTACCACCTCCTCGATTAAACTACAGACAGTATATTATATACAATTTCGTTATCAGATGAAGGTTGAAATATGCAACCGGCTCTTCAACTATAACTCTGTGTTTTGTGGGATATCGCTTCGCTCGTCCCCCACAATCCTTCGTTACACGTTTCCTAACAAGTTACGTAAATATATATTTTATAATTTCCACCACCCAAAGACTGAGAACTGCAAAAGGACCGCTGGAAAAGTATTTGGACAAAGATATTTCCATCTATTCTGGTAAAAAAACAAACTGTTTTGTCTGATAGGTGTTCCAGACATGTGAACGAGAAACTTATGTTTGTGCTACTTCCTTGTCTATGCTAAAGACAATATCATAGGTTCCAATATTAACTTCATCAGATTTAGGGGGCTTTATACAACATTCATTCTTCATTGTTAATTTTGTGTATCATCTTTTGAGATGTGGACAAATAATCAACTCTTCAGAACTTTATTTCAAACCGTTTTGCAGAAGCATTTGAACCAGAATAAACTGTATTCGTTGACTTCACAGTTTCATCAAGAAAATCTTTGATTTCAAACCGTTTTGAAAACGTTTCTACAACCCCTTGAAACAAATGAATTTACATTGAAGAACTCTCACCTTCATTGTCGGAATCATCATCAACTGTGCTCTTTTGCATTTGTAGGAAAGATTCCAACTTGCTTAGATCACTAGCGTCATCAGGCAGACAATCAGATTCACTCACATCTTCTCCATTTTCATTATTTTCAGAAAAGTTTTCACTATAACTCGAGCACGTTTCACTATTTTTACTATAGCTACAAGAAGCTGTAGGGTTGTTCAAAACTGGTTCTATATCTGGAACTGTTTTTGGGTTGACCTTTTTACTAGGGTACAGCTTGATCTCTGTTTGGATTGTCTTGACGTTTTTACCGCATTTAACTTTAGTGAGCTGAAATAATTTTTTGTTTTTGTCCTTCATGAGATTCTCTAGGACACTTTTGTTTGTAACCGGGGTCAATTTAATTGGTATCATTATAGGCGCCGCCAATTTTGCCTTTTTATTATCAGGTACTGCCTTGACATCTGCTTCTGGTTTGGTTTTTCTACTGTATGATTTCTCGACGAGTGGATGTATACTCAACTCTGTAGACTCAGGTGTGCTACTTTCTGCCGGTTTGTTCTTTCTGCTGTACGTCCTCTTGACGAGTGGGCGAATATCCGTCTCGATGGACTCTGTTACGCTTCTCAAATCTGCGGTAGGCCCCTCTAGGGTGAGCATAGCCGGCCATTTGAACAGCGAGAGGAATCGCTGCAAAAAGAGCCATCTGTCTTCTAATATTCTGGTTTGTTTTGCTGCGGGTAGTTGTGACAATTCATTATATATTTGGAAATCGATTCTGCTTACTGTGGTCTTCGACATTTCCAACTTACCCAGGATCCTCTGATCCATCGACTTGAAGTGCAAATATCTATTCAATAATGTTCGCAAACCAAATGAATTGCTGATGTTAGGTGGAACCAAATTATTTATACAGCGACCTCTCGCTCCATAAGATTCGAGTCTATTTAGTTTTTGCCTTGTTGCCAACTCTCTGAGGATCAATTGGTCAAACCTGTCCAGGTCAAAATTGTCTAAATTATTTGGAATTTCCAAGTTAACTTGCAGCAAATCGAGTAGTAAGGTAATATTATCCGTAACCTCTTGAACTTCTTTAGAGGAAAGTTGTTTAGCAACATTGCTTTCATGAGAATTGAAAAAGACTTCTGTCAGCATATCATCAACATTTTTTTCAGCATCAATTTTTTCATCCACTACAAATTGATCAGTTTTATGATGGATTTTTGACCCTGTTGTGCTAGATTCTTCATCGAACACATTGCAATCTAATTGCTTCTGGATCTCTTCAACTGTCGGAATGCATGCCAAATTCTTGTAGTGATCTGCGATTTTTCTGAAATCATAAAAAAAAATGAGATGCAGACTATATTAGTATGGCAAAGCAAGTACTTCATTGTTGAAATATTGATAAATATACAGGGTGATGAGCAGCACTCAATAATTGATCCATAGAGAATAAAAGGCCATTGTTACAGAAGTATACTGGATGCCCGTAGTCAGAAAATGTAAGGTTCATATTTCTGAGATGAAAAATCACAGGAAAAAGATAATAACAAAATAATAGAAGAATACATACTTCTAAACAGTAGATATTTATATTATTTATATACTAACATTCTTCTCCAGTTAAATACTGTCCGTAGGTTAATCGGTTTTGAATAATGAAGAACAATCATCAAATAATTGTATTTTCAGTATACCTTGTGTTTGTGGAAAGTATTAAACAGGTGAAACGAAGAGATCTCTCTCAGTAAGGATGAAAGAACACAAAACACAAGTACAATGTCAAGAAAATACATATTGATAAATCAAAGCTAACTGAAAATATCCTTACTGAAAATGGACTACATATGGCAGAGTGGAATAATATTAAAATCATAGGAAAGGAAGAAAACAACCAACCGAGAAGTCAAGATATCCGCTTGCATACTTCTGAACGGAGACAATAACATTGCTGCCTGTTCAGTTGACCATTGAAAATGGTAGATTCAAGATCAATTAATGAAAACATCTTGGAACTCATCCATATGCCAACATCAGTATGTCACTAAAAAGTGTCAAAGTAAAAGAACTGATTTGTCCTACTACACATATATTGAAATAATACTCATATTTTTGTTTTATAGAAACGAGGAGAGAATATCCCAAATGATCAAGTAAAATGAATTCTTCTCCAGTATCAACAAACCATAACCTTTCTAACCTGGCAAAGATTGCTTGTAGATATAGAGTGCGTGAAGTGTGCCTGAAATTCTTTCAGTCATATACGTCTAATAAATGTCGAATAGTAGTTGTGGATAGGAATAGAAGTTACTCACTGCCAATAACAAGATGGGTACCACAGGGGTCAATACTGGGACCAAATTCATGGTCATCACACTAGACAATATAACTCGTTTCATCTTGAAGCTGCAAATTCTAAATTTGAATTACCATATGATATTTAAATATTATAGAATTTAAGAATGAAGTGAAGAAATATATTATGATTCAAAGAAATGATCAAAGCTGAAAGACTTAATGACATTTTTTTTCTCTCTTCGCTGTTTTTTCCCTTTTTGTTCACTATATGAGTACTGTTATTTTGAAATATCTCAAAATGCAAGTTTATCTACCCAATGCATCGAAAGTAAGCATTTGTCCCCACATTTCAGGACACAAACCTGTCAATTTACTCCCACGGGAGTAAATTGGCTTTATCTAGCTTCCTTGGTAGAGATATACATATAAGATTTGTGCTACCCAGTGTCTCCATCACTATCTACTATAAATCAAATAACAATTTTCTTCCTCTCTCATATTCCAAGCTCATTCAATCGAAACTTTAAATGAAAAGCAACTAGACAATAAACAAATTCGATGTGAGAGTGGAAGTGTGAAATTGATTGTCGTTTTATCAAAATCTGTCAATTATAACGTAACCTTATTAGATCATGTAACACATTGATTTGGATCGAGACTCGACAGAACACATTGATTTGAATCGAGAGTTGACAGATAGAATGCTTGAAGCACAATTTCAAGAACGACGGTTTTAAATATATGCGTTCGTGAATAAAAACATATCTTCGGAGCAAAGGTTCATTTCCTCCCATGTGTGTTTAATAATTCACATGTAGGATGAAATAATTACCTTTGCTCTCTTGATATTTCTGACTATTTTTAAATTAATTATACTTCATATATTATTTGTATAAAATGTATCAATGAAGGAAAATGTTGCGCAATAACTGAAATAAATAAATACTGTTCTCAATTTATATTAATGACATGTGATATGCCTTCTCATATGATACTTGGCAGTATCTCATACTGTCTGTAGGTTAATCGAGGAGGTGGTACATTCATTATTCCATATTTTTTGGGATTTTCTCCTTGTTTCTATAAGATAAAAATATGAATATTATTTCAAGATATATTGATGCTATATCTGAATCTAATAAAAAAGAAATTATTTGCTATAAGAACAAAATACAAAAACACAAAAATTCTAGACTACCTACTAAAAAACATTACAATAAACATGATAAGTACATGATATGGTAATTTTTTTTTTATCAAACCATTTTAGCATACATATTAATAAATACATCTAGCATTTTGTTCCTAATCAGCAACATGCTGGTGACGGAACATTATAATTGACATATGATTCAATAACAATTTCTGTAGTAACCATAATATACATTAGTATACATTAATATACTTATACACAAACAACAACAATTACAATCTTAATATGTTATATGTAACAAAAAAGTTAAATGATGGGAAATAATGGACAGAAAGGGGAAAGAAAATTATTGAGAGTGTCCTAGATGATCTTGATGAAAACTTGTTGGGAGATACTGATTTTATTTCTTTTTTCAAGTATTTCTAGTATTCTAAAATGATTCCGAAATCTAGTGTGGTAATTATGTATATAAATTCCATCTTTTATTAGTATTCCATACCCTTATTCATTTTTTGAAATAATACCAAATATATTTTTTTGAATAATCAAAATAATCACGTCTCAGAAACACTAGCTGTCGATGACGTGCCATTGACATACCGTTACCGATAAGCACTAGTGGAGTTTAATTGCTCAAAAACCAATGAGAATATTTCCACATTCTGCATCGAAATAATAATTGACTTCCCACACTAGGAGTGGAGTGTTGTGTACTGAAATATACACAATACATAAGTCGTATCGTATAATATACTTGCAATCGATTGATCGCGGTAAATGACGTCATCACGCGTTGTGAATGTCAATAATTAAACTGGTCAACATTGATAACGTCGTGGTCCAAAATATAGCCTGAATTCAAAGTAGAATAACTCACGAATTTCCTAACTAATTTGAAATCGATTTTCACCGATGACTAGCCTAATCTCTTGACAGTTTGTTGTGGCAATATGAAACTTCTGTAATTTCAGATAACATTGCTACAAGGTGATAATTGAATGGGTGTAAAATTGCATCGTGGTCTTCACCTCACCGTTTGAACAGATTTTTAATGATGCATTTTTTCGAGGATTAATTGAATGAAATTGGAAGTTGGAATTCTTTTTCGAAGAATCAACGTTGTATGCATAGTCGTCGGATATGTGATATATGAAGTCTATACAAAGTGATACAAGAAATACTGAATGATGGAATGGAGAATAACGTAGTCTTCAGTAGATGAAACATAATTTTCTCTCTGTTACTAGTGAAATAATGGAGTGTTATGTAACGTACAATTTTACCTTTTACACTGCACCTGGTAGCTTTTCGTCGGCGGCATATGGGTGTGGGTTGATACCTTTGCTAACCCTCAGATGTATCAACACTCAAATCTTTCAACATGTGGAATTTATAAGAATATATATATATTTCTGTAATTTATTTTTGGACGCCACTGATTCTTTTAGAACATAGATAGAATGTCTAGGATAAAATTAGAAACCTGTAGGTTGAGTTCAGAGAGAGATATCAGTAAAAACATGGAAACTTCAACAATACATACAAATTTAATGATGAAAATGTTTTTCATGAAATACATTAGCAATATTAATTGTATACATTTGTAGAATATTATGGATACTTTTCAATTCGTGATTTTATCAGATATTATATTTATAATATTTTATTGACATATTCTTCAATGGGCCTGTTTCAGTGAAAAATTTTATTTCATCATTTCGAAGTACTAACCCTAACTAGTTCACTGTCGCAAACCGTTTTTTCCCCAGAGCTCTGTACATTTTTTAAATAATTATTGAAATACACGATATTTCGTAACATGAAAAACGCGGGAAAGCGCGTGACGTAGGCAGCCGGTGAACAATTCATATAAGATTCGACATACATATCTATTCTCTCTCTCTCTCTTAGACAAGTGCAAAAATATTTCTGATTGTCATTTATCAAAATATGTGAGATGAATATTTTGGTAATGACACTAAAATTGGAGAAGAAGATTGCGTATAACCTAACCTATGGTAGTCGTGTGTTTTATACCGATTTGTCAAAATGGTAGTGAGAATTTGCCTGAAAAACTTTTTTCGACCGTCCCGGCTAGTACCCAACGCAGGAAAAACTGGCAGTGCATCTGGAATTTATTTCAGGGCATGACCTCTACTGCTGTAAGGATCATTTCAATGTGGGTTCCCATTGTGCAATGTGATATCCTTGTCACTTTCCGATATTCCAGCTTGAAGACGATGCAGTTAATTGGATGTTTTTCAAAATCATTGGAACAACACTCAAGCTGAAACCTCATGTAGTGCCACACAAGTTCTTGAATGTACCGCCACCCACATACAAAATAAGTGTACTGACTGATAAGGGAAACAAAAGGAAAGGAGTTGCTGGGAAATGTTTGGAAGAAACGAAAAATACAGCTATCAGATTATGCAGAACTAAGTGCAGAACCCTCATCATCCAAAAATGTAGCAAATACATCTATATCAGTTCCTGACATCATTGAGGTTGAGGAAAAAATAGTTGAAATTTGTCTCAAAACATCTATTGGTATTCAGACTAATATAAAAGGGCCATTCAGAAGTAATGGTGTAAATATGGAAAATAAAACTTTTCATGATGTAGGTACCCAACCAATGAATCATATCAAGTTGAGGGAGTAGAGTGTGATCAAACCTTGTTGTATGAAACCTTCATTTTCAAGTTCAGATACAATATCTGAATCTCTTTCATCTCCTACAAGGGAATATGAGCTAAACAGTTCAACTGATCTTGATGAGATTGATGAGGAGATTACAGGACAGACATACATAAGTCATAAAAAAACTGAAATTCATGCAATAGAACTTTATCAAGATTGTTTCTTGGAAATGCAGGGA